ATAAGGCAAGAAATAACAACCATTTTTACCAGGTGAAATCAATTCTCTGTGCTTGCATTTTCATTGCCCTTCTTGTACTTTTTGTGCTTTTTTTTTTTTTTCCTGCAGAAAGTATGTAATGAAATAATTAGCAACAAAGCACTGAGTCTTGGAGAAAACAGAAATAAATCTAGGCTGGTGCCAATATTCTTCAGCAATTTAGAGTCTTACCCTTCCTCTGTACCAAATGTACTTTCTTTTCTCCTCTCAAAAACCAGCTCTCTGTCAGGAGAAGTGTATGTGCTCCTCAAAGGAGAGGTGAGAGCCTCTCTCTTCTCTAAATGATGGTGCATTTGTCTGTCAGCTCATCCTAATCTGTCATTTACAACTCTACTTCTGATTTGAAGAGGAAGGCATAGACCAAAACTGAGACTTGGGGAATGTGGGTGAGTGATTTGGCAAAGCAGAAGAGTTGTTCAGCAGCTGGACTCAGAGATGCTTCCTCAGAAGCACCTCATTTTGTTTAGACCAGTACTCTTATTTATACTTATTTATTAATCAAGAGGCCTGACAAGCTGCTGCAGATAAAGCTGCTGCTGATTCAGTAGTTTGGTAGGAGAGTCATCTGAGGATTAGAGTCTATAAACAGCCTTTATGAAAAGATAAATTTTTTTGTCAATTAATTGGCCTGGAGAATTTTGTCATTTCAATCTGTCGTTGTTGAATTTTACTTTACTACAATATTTTGAAATTAAGTAAAAAAGGAAAAGTGTCTGTCTATTGCTTTTGGCAAGCTCTCTGTTAATTAATGGCTTTTTGAAGTACTAAATTTCTCTTTTTTTATCTTAATTAACAGTCTTAATTGACCTTCTGTGATCCCTAGTTTCTCCCAAAAGAATTAAAAAATAGACTTCTAAATTCTTTTCTGCAAACAGATTGACATGCAATTGCTTGTCTACAGATCTTCTCTGCCTTCACAAACTTTTTTTTTTTTCCCCCATTTTTATTCTTTTACCGCTGAAGTCCCCACTGGAAATTACAGTCCATTGAACCATAGAGCTAAAATTGATTGTGCACATAAAAAATCCTGGAACAATTGAACAAAGAAAAGAACTTCCTGGTGAAATCCAAACACGAGTGTCATCGAAACTTTTACCTGATTCTGAGCTCACCTGGCCTTGATCACTAAGGCAATATTTGATGTTGCTCCATTTGCCCCTGATGACAGAAGGAACCAGTTTTTCCTTCGTTTAACCTACATCAAAGCATGGTTATCGACGTCAAAGAAGATGAATTTCAGTTGCCAACATTTTTATGGGGCGTTCTCTATTCTGTCTCCTTTATATCAATTTGTTCTACTTTTTGTGGAGTATTGGAAAGTTAAAGCTAAAGGGCCCTGTCTAATTGCTTCTATTTTAAATTAATTTTTAATTAAAGCTTTATGTATCACACATTACAACCCTAAATACGCCTTTTACCATTTTCTTCTAAAACATAGAAGGCAAGTCTCTTTTTTCAACATGTTGTGAGGAACTGCAGTCAGTTCTTCCTGCTGGAGTTTATGGAAGGCAATACTAAAAATGCAAATTCTATGTTTTGAGGCTTGAAACTTTCAAGTAACTGTTAATCTTGGAGCTTACTTTTATATTCTGGGATTAAATAATGACATTTTAAGCATTTAAACCTTCACTAAGAGCAAGATAAGCAAGCATGTACTTCATTTCAAGCATCTTAACTAAGTTGATTCCACTGGTCTTTTCATGTGTTTAATGTTAAGCATATGCCTATTTACTGTTCCAAAATGCTGCATGGTATTTAGCAGGGTGAATTAGAACCAATAACTGACATTTCCTTAAGAATCCCAATAAAGTGGGAGGTATGCAAAATAAGCTCTCATTTTTAAGCTAAACAAAGTAACTTTTCGCAAGCATTGCCTTTTTATTGCTGCACCCAGCTGTAAATCATGGCTTGAAAGCAAAGCCATCCTTTAAAACACGTTTTTTGAAAAATAGCGCATTATTTTCTCCTGAGCTGTTGAGACAATTTCCTGCCTGGATTTGGTGCCCCATTAATTTTAGACTATTAAAAAAAAAAAAAAAAAAAAAAGTCACAGTGAGCAATAGGAAACAATTTTGGATTTGTTGCACACACATATATCACAATAGATCTGCCTGTTGTAGTTCTGCACATGATGTTTAACCAACTCCTGTTTTCCCTGGTTTGGGATTAACGCCCTCCTTCCCTCAGATTTGTACAGTAACACAGCCTTATGCTACACATAAAAGGAGGATTTTTTTTTTTTCTTTTCAATGTGTAAAATTTGAAATTTGAATGCAATTCCAGTAACAAGAGGAAGTCTTTTCTAATGAGTCTCAAAAATCCCTGGCCAAAAAAGCATGTAAAACTCTCCTGTAGAGAGAGAAATTGAGTGCACAGTGTTAGCATAATAGCAAGGGCTGAGACATTGCTTTGCACTACAGTTTTATGGGATGATATTTTAGAAGGTATTCAGAGATTTATGGCTTTTTAGGGACAGCTCAAATTGTTTTCACATTTCTAATATTGCTTTCATTAGAATTTTGAAAGTGTGTTTATGGTATCGGATTGAATTCTAAGGTGTTACCAAATCATCCAGAATACCCACTGCTTAAGTATATTCCTTTGTATCCCTGTGTATCTTCAGAGGAAAAAATGGGGTGAATGTAAGTGCTTTGTTTTAAAGTATGTAATCTGTATTCTGTCATGTACTTCATCTCCCAGGAAAGGTACCTGGGAACTCACTCTGCTGTTTTTATTTATCCTGCCAGTGCAGTATATAGATGAGAGGACTAAGGTCCAGTGGTGTTAAAACAGGACATGAAATATTGATTAATTCTTTTTTAAAATTCCTTTTTCCTCCTGAGTATAGGAAATTTCAGATGCTGCTGTCAATATAATGCTCTCCAATAAACCTCCGTTATCGGAAGGGTCCCGATCTTCATCATGTTCTTATAAATGGTTATTATGATTCTAAAAGGCTTTAAAAGCTCAAGGCTAGTGTTTTTCCTGGTGCAAGAGCAGAAAGCAAGTTAAGAGGCAGTGCAGCCTTTTATCATGGCAGAATGTTACTCTGAAATAACATGGACTGGGCTGGGAATTCTCTTTGCTGGACAGTAGCAGAACATTCTGGTTAAAGACATGAAGATCCTAGTGGGGCAGATAAACAGATGTAGAGTTTCATGGCTATAAAACTGTCAAGTAAAGAAGCACAGTTATAGTTGATATCCACTTAAGGAAATACGGGGATTTGACTTTGGTTCCCACTGGTCACTCTTCAGTTTAACCCTTTACTTATTGTTTCCAGTATGGTCCTTTACAAAAGCAGCTAAACATACTTAAGTCTTTCCCAAAGCAAAAGGATGTTTTCTGGAAAGGTGTGGATAAAAGTTCCCACCAGCTCACTGATGTAGGACAACAGACATGGGCAAGGAAGAGGACATTTTAATTACTTTCAGGGTTCTTGGACTCAGCTCTGAGAGTTAATTGTTTTTCACTTAAAAAACTAAGGTTTATTTAAACTGGAGTGTACTGGAATTTCTTTAGGAATGTAAAGCTCTTGGAGTTTTTCTACCATCCATGAAAAGGTGTTCATCAGAGATGGAATTTGAATCTCACACCTGTATGTGCCAGGTAAATGTCATTATAAAGGTTGTACAACTACTTTTTCACCCATCGTCCCAATTAGTCTTCAGTTCAGCTTGAGCAAGGGAGTAGCACAGAATCTGAGCCAAAAACCATTGACTGGCATATTTACCTGGGAGGCAGGAGACCACAGCACGTTCTTGCTCTGAACCATGAAGAAACACCTCAGAAGTTTTTGTTGGTGGGAATAACTGATTAGCACATAGGTCTACTTGGGAGTTCTCTGGCAGCAAAACTTAATCGTGTGCAAACCTTGGGCTGCTTTAACTTATGATGCAGAACAGACTGCTCCCTGCCATACCCAAAGCCTAAGGGCTTGCAGTTGTGGCAGAAAGCTGATACATCCCCTCCTCTCACTCACACCCAGCTCTATTATGATGGTTTTATGACTGTCGTGATATCTTTCTTTGGAAATTGGGAAAGCTTTTTATGATTTTAAGATAATTCTGCCCATTGATTTCAGTCAAACTGAAAGCAACACATGCACAAAGCTGGACTTGACCCAATCTGTAAGCAGTGAGAGTTAAGTGTGTTCTTACTATTCAAGAGGTTTTAAAGCAGTGAGTCTTGCATACCCATGTTCTATGACTCCCAGTCCCCAGTTGGTAACATTTGCTTGAGGAGAGCAAACAGGATTTGGTTTGTGATCAACAGTGCTCACATAGCCAGCCTGTGAGCCAAAAACCTTACACATGTAGTTTTTCTCACTCATGCAGGTAATACTTTTGGACTGATTTAACATAAATAGTTATTTGAGCCAAGACAGCCAATCTGGATATTATCCTTTCTCTCTGCTATGTTATCTCAAAGAACGATAACACGAAATTATGTAAAGGGGTATGCACAGAATTTTGGTTTTCAAAACTTTGTATTAGATGGTTTTCTATCAAAATATCCATGAAAATTTCATTTCTCTTTGAATTGTCCCGTTGAGGAGAGCCCACTGCAGGATTCTGCTTGCAGAAGAGGATGGTGCATACCCACATGCACACGGCACAAATTCTGACAGTGGTTTGTATTTTGGTGGGCTTTATCTCATTTTACAAACCCTACTAATTGCTGTCTTTCAGATGGGAAAATAAATTATATTTTTGTCTTGGGGGAGATGCATGGTTTGACTTCAGATATTTAACGTGGTATTTTTTCTGTGGACAATGGCTTGAGGCCCCAAGCTGGTAAGAATGAGAGCATATCTATAAATAATTCAAAGTAATTGTGTGGTTTTGACAGATTGTCAAGTTGCTTAATGCCTTTTGTCCCAGGCAATAGATTATATTTCTTTGATAAAGTGTTGATAATTTCTCATTGCAATTTGTTTTGTGTATGTTGTATTTTTACAGAGTCCAGTCAGGTTCATATCTCAGTACGGGTTGGTTTACCTTAATTTTGGCTATGGATGCCTGCTATGGAATTCACGTCTATGGGATGATAAATGACACCTACTGCAAGTAAGATCACAGGAAATTATTTTCATGCATCTACAATTCTGATGTCTTGTCAAAATTTCACAATTGATTTTAATATCATAAATCCAAGAAATGGATCAGGCAGTCATTTCCCAGTGTTTTGCATTGATGTGACACTATTGTCAGCACATTCACTCCTGATATGGCATTTGCTGTTGATAAAATGAAAACATTTACAAAATCTAGCATCAGATGTCACAAGTAACTATTTTTAATCAAGGATCTTTTGCAGTTTCTGAATTAGCTGGAAACAAAGTATGCTCATACCCTTCTGATAAAAACGTACTTGCTTCCCCTGCTAAAACAAATCTAGACAGGAAAAATATAATATATTATTTTCTGAATACCAAATACACCTGGAAGTGAAAGAAACTGATTAGCCCAGGACAGTTACCTGAAATTACATTTCACCACCATTGAGCAACCTACTTGAACTTTCCAGGTTATATATGGCTTGTTTTGAGTAGTAGAGGTTTCTAATTAGATAATAAAACAAGTCCTGTGAGCTTTATCACCATAAACTGGCATAAATTCCAACCAGCTCCCCTTAGTGACCTTACAGTGACTATGGATTCATCACATCATCAGAAGCATAACTCTTCACACAGTTTTTTAAAAGTCCAAGTTAAACGCTTCAATCTACAGTGCATGGTAGAAAAATATAAAATGGAACTATTTATCATTTGTTCAGTAAAGCAGGAACAATGTCTTGTACTGGTATGTACACATCTATTCCTCTGTACCCAAGCTGGTTCAAGGCTGGCACGTAACCAGTCCAGTGGGTCCTCAGCTCCTCAAGTCGAGTCCTTGTGCAGATCCTCACTCCACATTCTGCGTCACCCCAGTGCGAGGCTCGTTCCTGGCAGGCCCTAAAACAAACAAACAAACAAACAAACAATGGAATTTGAGTCGCAGCTGTTCAATTAGGGTATCTTAACATGGGAGCCTGGCTTTTTAGAACTTGCAGATCTCGCTGATTGAGTCATCCAGATGGAGTGAACATATGTTGTTCTTTGTTTGTGAAGGCACAGGAGGCGCCCCGAGATGAGGGGTGACAGGACTGAGGTTGTCCTCAGAGCCAAGCCAAGCTGGCATTGCAGAGCCCTGATGTTAAACCAGTCAGCAGCGTGATAGCACTTAAGTCTGTTGGCAGCAGGGAAGGATGGCTTTCCTTAAAGCTCAGTTCTGACTGCTTTACCTACTTATAATGGATTATGCAGCCAGTTGGAGAACCAGATTCAACAGCTGGGACTATCCAGTGAGAAGACTTTGCTTAGGGGTGGAGCCTTGTGGACTGAGTTCTCCCAGGTTGAACAAAATGTGCAGTACTCATAAGAGCCAGCCCATCAGCTTCTCACTGACTGAGAGACACACTGAGCTACATTTCCCGTAGGAAAATTCATAGAAATCATGATGCAATGAAAGCCCCTATACAGTTTAGTAAAGGAGCTCAAGTGCTGATGCATGGGAAGGATTTCAGATAACTCACAGAATCATTTAGGCTGGATGAGACCTTTAAGATCATGGAGTCCAGTTGTTAACCCAGCACTGCCATGTCCAGCACTAAACCACGTCCCACGTGCCACATCTACTTGTCTTTTAAGTATCTCCAGGTATGGGGAGTCACCACTTCCCTGGGAAGCCTCTTCCAGCGCTTGACCACCTTTTTGGTGAAGAAATTTTTCCAAATATCCAGTCTAAACATGAGGCCATTTCCTCTTGTCTTGTTACCTGCAAGAAGAGACCGACCTCCACCTTGCTACAAACTCCTTTCAGGTGGTTGTAGAAAGTGCTGAGGTTGCTCCTGAGTCTCCTTTTCTCCCGGCTGAGCCCCCCCCCAGCTCCCTCAGCCACTCCTCGAAAGACTTGTGCTCCAGACCCTGCCCCTGCTCCACTGCCCTTCTCTGGACACCCTCCAGCACCTCAGTGTCCTTCTTGCAGTGAGGGGCCCAGAACTGAGCACAGGATTCAAGGTGTGACCTCACCAGTGTCGAGTGCAGGGAGACCATCCCTTCCCTCATCCCTTTGGCCACACAATTGCTGATACAATCCAGGATGTTTGTATCCTGAATTCCGGTGCACTGTGTATTTACGTATTTCTTGAAAATAATACTTAAGTATATCTTTTTTTTTTTTTTTTTTTTCCCCTCCTAGGTCAGAAGGCTTTCGTAAAGTTCCCTACCACTATTACGAGCCAGGAAGAGATGAGTGTGAGGAATACTTTCTCCATGAGAACGCTCCATATGGAGGCCATAGGTTTATCACGGAAAAGAAAGTGTTTGCTAAATGGGCCAAGAAGCACACGATAATATTTACACATCCCAACTGGACAGTGTCTTGATACTGGTTTTCTTAACTCTCCCTGAGCAGCATATTATAAAAATGTCTCAGTTTACAATAGTTTTGCTTACATGTGGCTGGCCTTTCTCAGCCTAGGTAACATTAAACTAAAAACCGGACGACAAAGAGGGTGATGGTTCAGCTGCTAAGCAAAATTAATCATCTGTGGAAGGTAGACACATTGTTTGTTACTTCTCTTAGGGTTTTACTCCACACTATGCACTTTATACTTTAACTGGATTTTACTTCAAGGCAGGAGCAGTTAAATACAGAGGAGATTTCCTGGATATACAGGTGCACACAGAGAACATGGAGATCCTTTGAAACTTGTCCATCATCTCAGATATTTAAAATTAGTATTTATAGCTCACTGGCAGTACTGCAGCGCTAGTGAGTGTCCTTTCTAGTATTAGCAGAAGTTTTCAACAAGAGGAATATGAGGAAAAATATAGACCTCAAAAAAAAAGAAAAAAAACAACCAAACACCTGAATACATTGACACATGTGAGAACTTGCATGTATGGTAAAATTAGAGATGAGCTAAACACGGTTCTTGAACTGATCACAACTCTTGCATGAGAAGATACGACTTCCTCAAGTCCTGAGGTGCAGGTCTTCCACCCTGGTCAGGCTGCAGCATCTGGGACAGTGTATTTGGTGCTGTTTGAAGCCCTTGTCCCACGGTGCAGCTCCAGCATTGTGGCACTCAGAAATGACTGTGCCTTGCAGCCCACGGTGAACCTTTGGCTGTCGTACCAGGTCTGCTGTCAGTATCCAAACTCATGAGTGAAAAGTTGTCCTGTGAATATCTCCATTTACTCTAGTTGTGCCTTTGAGTTGCTCCAACATCCAAGTAACAGTATTTTGACAGTATTTCCCATGGAGCCATCATAATTTGGTTTAGATCTCCAGTTTCTCCAGCTTTAAAAACAGGGATAGTGTCTATCTACCTCACAAGGGAGTTGTGAGGACTAATTTAATTTAATTTAAAGCACTTTCCTGATGAAGAATGCTACAGATCATTTATTCTTAATGCAAAAACAATGGTACCTGTCATTTATTCTTGTCTGTTGGGTATTTGAAGAAAGTGACAGCATGTCTGGATCTGATGGCGAATTGTTCTGTGCATCCACTTTCCTACTGAGGATAATTTGTAATACTGAGTTGTCTCAGCTTGCATTGCCTCAGATGAAGTTGAAAGAACTCCCCACCTCACAGCATTAGCTGCACATCAAGAGGCAGTTCAAGAATTTTAAAATAGACTCATCTCTAGTTTAAATATGTATTTCCCAGCTCACTGTCGTGGAAAGTTTTCAACTGCAGCAAACTCAATTGTAATATGACCATAATCCAACTACACATGTGAGTTTTATTTAAACTGTATTTAAACTAATGCTTTAAGTTTAGAATTGTGTCCTATGAATATTTTAACATCTGGAATGTCAGATTCAACACTGTAATAGCCAATACTGTGAACACTTGAAGGAATTACGTGTGGGACATGTCACACAGGGTTTACTCACGCTACTTAAACATTAACCAACAGGAAACTTTGTATGCTTTTGTAAATCATGAAAAGGGGAAAGTAAAAAGCTATTTTTACATGTAAGTATTTGTATACTGACTATTTCCTATTGTATATTTGTACATATAAATCTATATTTTATATGTTCATCGCATATATATTCTGTCATCAACAGCTGCAACTCTTAGAATGGGGAGGAAATCCCTTCACCACTGTTCCTCCTCCTGACTGTTGGTTCCTTATTCCTGTTGGTACATGATGCCAGGGTATCATCTCTGTTACCCCTTCTGTTTTCTACTCTAAATGCAGCTTTCTGATTTTATTTTTTTAATATAGCTCAGCTTTCACTGTTTAGTACTCTAAGTATTCATGGTGGTTGTCAGACAGAGGCTGGGACCACGCTTATAATCCTGGATAAACATCTGTATTTAAATACAGGCTTTGTCCCAGACTTCTTGCACAACTTGATGTCTCACCTTCCTGTTTGGAAAAGGAGAACCACAGTATTTTCCTACTCCCCTTCTTGTCTGACCTTCCTGTGAGCTGTTGAGATGAATATTCCCATTTTCAATTTATTTGTATAATGCCTTGCAGGAGAGGTACCCAGAGTGTCTGAAAACTACAGGCAATGCTATAATATGCAAATAATTTGAAGTGGCTGCCCTTTTTCTCTGGAGTTAAAGATCAGTTGTAAGCTAATACAGCATGGGATGAAATCAAAAGGGGAAAGGGCCAGGGATGGATAAAGAGCTGTAGCACCAAAAGCCAGGGGTCTAAATTTCTCACCATATGCATATGCACCTTTTCAGTTCAGATGGATGGCTGGATATATGGAAAGCTGATAAAACAATTGTAATGCAGGATTTGAAGAGTGCAGGACGTGCAGAACTAGGGAGGATGTTCCACACACATTGCACAGGGCAGCCTGGGAAATCCTACAGCTCCCTTGAGGGAAGAGGAGCTGAAAGGGAGAGCATCAGCCAAATTGAACTTGTATTTGGGAGGTCTTTGGGTTAATAGAGAAATTGCTATGAAGGTGCTGCCCATGGATGTGTGGTTGGGCTGGACAGACTTACATGGAAGTGTCTCCATGAACTGTTTCTCCCAAATGAGCATCAGGATTCTGCCTCGCTGGTGATCACCTGCAAGGTATTTTTTTTAAAGCCTGAGGAAGTTTTTCAGATAATTAATACACGCCAGCTCACCATAAAACTGTTGTAAAATATGTGTTTCGTCCTGAAGCTCACTGAAGAGTGTTTGCATGCTGCATGAAACAATATCACAGTTGTCACAGAGCAAAGTAAAAGTGTTGCTCTCTGCCTGGATTTGCACTGAGAGCAGATCTCCTTTAGGAACGTGGCAGCAGGCTTCATTCACACGAAAGTAAATGAACATCACTTCCCTTATTTAAATGAAGCTGCCTTTAGCATGACATAAATGCATATTTACATTATTTTTATTGTATGAGTAAGGAACTGTGACCACTGCGTTAAAGATGATTCTGCAAAGAAATTACTTGGTCAAAATCTGTTAAAAATCTGTGGTACTGAAGAAAAGAATCTCAGTACTTGGCTGTGTAGTGAGGGACCTTGATGATTCACCTCCTGAGAGCAGTTAAGACATCAGCTGAGAATCATTTATTAATTCTTTAAGATAAAACCTACTACAGTTTACCTGAATGTAATCAGATCCTAATTGCTTATTCATTCAAGCAGTCCTATTTTAATCAACTACTCATGTGTGTAAAACAAGCAGGGAGTTTACCTGAGGCTTTCAAAATGCATCTTCACGTTGCTGTTAATAGGGGAATACTTACAAATAGTTTGGCCTTTTTTGGCCATCAGTCAGCTAAGTAGTCAACAAATGTTTTCTTTTCCACTTTAGGGGAATTTAATACACTTTTTTGAAAAAAAAAACCACCAACAAAGCATTTATTGTTTGGTTTGCTGTAGGCTTAGTTTTAATGAACATTTAAATTTTAATATGCTTTATGTTTTATGTGGCATTATCTTCCAATTGATTTTTTTTTTCAAAGTAAAAACTTTTAAATAGGAGCAGAAATTTGCATAAGAAAAAAAATATCTTTTTGGCTGGCTAATTACTAATTCCAGGGTAATTAGTGGCAGGGTGTGTGGGGAGGTTTAGGCACTGGAACAGGCTCTCCAGGGCAGTGCTCACAGCACCAAGGCTGACAGAGCTCAAGAAGCATTTGGATGATACTCTCAGGCCCACGGTGTGACTCTTGGGGATGGGCCTGTGCAGGACTAAGGATTGGACTCAATGATCCTTGTGGGTCCCTTCCAACTCAGCATATTCTGGGATTTTGTGAACATAAAAAAACCTCCTCTTTCCAAACTGACACAACAGACACGATCCCAAGCTTTTCATCCCCATTAGATGTCCAGATCACATTCTTCTGCTTATAGCAAGGCCTCTTCTCAGAAAGCAAAAAATTAGTCTCTATATCCAGCCAAATTCCCTTTCCATCTGGGCTGGGAGGCTCCATCTGCAGACTGCTCCTATCAGTTACATCAGTAAGTGGGAAGGACTGATGAAGAGTTCCACTTAGGAGCAGATGGTGTTCCAGCTACTAAAAAATGCCCCTAAAGTGCTGTAGGCAAGGAGTACCCATTGATCTTTCCTGGAAATACTTTACTAAAGTATTGGGTTTCTTCAAATGCCTTTAGCTCCTCTGTAGAATAATTGTCCTCCTCTGTCTAGTAGGAGTTATCAGCAAGGGGGAAGCATGACCTTTACAGGAAGAAACAGAGGCAAATTCGGTGTTGTTAAATATTTCTAAATAAGCAACACCAGGGAGGAAGGTGTCAGCCTGCCACAAATTATCTGAACACTCACTGGTTTAGGAATCTCATTTCATAACTAATGGAAATCACTCTGGCAGGTTCACGAATGCAGCACCTATCCCTTTAAAATCTTTGCACTCCTGGGTATTAAGGTAAGCAGGGTTTTGTCTGAGAAGTACCATGTGCACATAAGGCATAGCAGAGTTAATAAAGAGAAGCCCACCCAACACCTGGAGGGCTGATGCTGATGGTCTGTCTTTATTCACCTGCTTGTGGGCTGGGCAAGAAGTAGGACCCTCACACAAAGATAGCTGGCAGCAGAGCACAGGGGCTCAACCAGAAGACATGTGCAGGTAAGTAAGAATTAAATAAGTAATCCCTCAAGAATTATAACTGGGTGGTGCCCTTAGTAAGTAGAAAACCAGAAGCACTTTGCATATTGGTGCTTATAATTTGCTGGCATTCTTTTCTGCGTGCATTCAGAAATTGTGTGGTGGTGTTAGTTGTATTCGAGCAAGCCTGGGGTTTGTTGATGGTGAACCTTGGGGTACTCACAAGAGTGAAGCTGTGTTAGTGCCAAAGGATCACACAGGAGCTGTCTGTGGGCATTATGATGTACTGTGCACAGCAGTCACGTATTTACTGAAAAAAAGGCCTGTGTTTTGTTTCCTGACTAGGGGTAGTACTTTTGAGAAGGAAGTGTTTCATTTTCAGCAGATGTGTCTCATTCTGTTCCTCCTTTCCTGAGAGGATGCACAGAATGGGACTTAACCATAGGAGAGTGACAAATATTATGTTAAATAGCCAGCCACCAGATTCATATGTGTTTTTCTGACTATTTCTGTGATATTTAGCTGAAGACAGAGAAGCCTTTTGTATAGCATAATCTACAGAAGTCTCATGTCTGTTCTGGATTAGAGTCTCGTGGGCAAACTCTCTAAAAGGGCCTGAAGGAGGAAGAAAAGGTCTCTCTCCACTGAAAGGCAGTGTTTCTGTGGAAGCCATAATAACGTGAGGCACACCCTCAGCCTTCGTAGGTCCCCACCTGGCCAAAAATTTTTGATTGCTTGCTGTCATTTCTGGGAATTCCTCAAGACATGCATCTGCCACTGCTGTTCTGATTTACTGGCCGTAAAAAGACTGTAAACTTGAACTAATGCATGTTCTTGCCATGTATTATGCATGATAGCATGTTACCCATTTTATTCTCCACTATAATAAATAATGTAAGTTTTATGTAAACTTGGTTCAGGCAGCAGGAGTAGTGCTTTTTCTTTCTCTCACATCGTGTGTTGCCCAGAGCACTTTGCTGGAGCCTTGTCATTGCCATTAGCAGCTGGCAGCAAATAAATTGTTGAAACCAGGCTGGAAATATTTACTAAATTTGACATTTTTCACTGGAATATCAGGAATAGTTCAGCTTGCTTTTGTTAACCTACTCTGGTACTCACAGTCACAATTTTATGTTGTGTTCCAAGGAAATCTCCCATCAGAGTGTAGCACTAGGAACAACTTTATTGACACAGATAATGTCAGGATGTTGGTGGGGCAGCGATCCCAAAATTTTTGCATTTATGGGAATATGTTTTTAAGGGGAATTGAACGTGTAGATTGGCTAAGATGCCTGCAGATTTTTTAATATTGTTGCTGCTGAAAATAGTATTTCTGGGGATGGTCAGCAGAAAAAGAAATTGTGTGCCCACTGCCCTTTTGGCTGATAATATAATAATGTAAGGTTATAATACTTGTTGCTTCATGTTTATTCTGTGTATTTCCAAAGCCTGTGTCTGTGTTAGCAAAAGAATTAACTCAGCTGGATTGGATCTGTAGCCTGAAACTCTTGGTGCTAAGGACCTGATGTCCACACTGTGCACAGTCTCTAGTTGGTCCCATGGGCTGAGTGCCACTAGTGATTGGAGCACATCTTCTGGTTCCATCCAAAAGGAATCTGGTTCACATCCTCAGGAACACTCCATCATGCAAACTAAAGCTCTTTAATTGAGGCCACTGCACTGGACTGTCCCACGTGAAAGTGAAATTCCTGCTAGCCCATCTTTTGGCTCAAGCTTTGAATGGGTGGGGTTTTGTTTGTTTGTGGTTTTTTTTCATGGGTATTTTTCTTTCAAATCTGAGATCTGATTCCTCCTGTCCGATCCTGGGAATCAGGGGCTCCTGACTCTTCCTAAAATTACCATCCACATGTGCTCCATAAGTCAGGAGTGTGATACAGCACAAAGTGATCCAGCATGGGTACAGCATGGAAAGTGCTTTGTTTGATGAAGAGTTAATGTGATTCTGCTTGTGGGTGTAATTTTATCCCGAACATGCTGGGTGCCTGCTAATGCATGCATTGTTTTTACAGTCTGCAGGACACATAAAAATTCCCTTCATCGTTTTCCCAGGGTATTTTTGTTCTTGTGGCCTTCCAGTTGCATCTGTGTATACATGCATATGTGCATATATATACAGGGCACAAGCATTCTTCTGCTCTTAGGCAGTTCCTGCTATGTGCTGTTAACATAAACTTATTTAGGCAGTTCATGGTACACTATTTATTACATGTATTCTTTGGTTGCCTTTTTGTAATGCTGACAGGTGTATTGATAGCAGATATCACTGTAGACCTAGAAAACTTTCATACTATTTATACTTATTTTAGATGTTCTGCCTTGTGTTTTTTTCTTGCTATATGTTACTTAGGTTTTTTTTCTCCCATTTGGAGAATGTGCTTCTATGTATTTGCAAAATTGTGCCTGGGTAATTTTAAAACATGAATAAATGTATATGGTTTTCCAATTGTCTGACATAATTTATTCATGATTTTGTGCAAAACACTTTTATTCTTGTTTATGTATGTGCCACTGTAATAATACCTGACAGTTCACTGAGCTCAAGGAAACAAAGATCTCTGTTCTCAAAAGTATTATAAATCAGCCACATACACTTTAAAGACATTTTAAGGCATCTGTCCTAAACATATTCAGTAATGTAGGGTAAACTCAGCCACAATAGACGAGCTGGGTTTGTGAAAGGACTGGGGGTTCTGGGTGTGTTTATCAGCACTGGTGTATATCATATATAATGCAGCAACTGTTGCTGACTAATTTTGGGCCAGATTCTGGTACACAGCACTTAGAACTGGGCTATTTTGTCAGCCACCACAATGAGGGAAGTGAAAAGAGACATTTCTGTGGTAAGGATAAAACTAAATAAAGGGAAGAAATGCCTTGCACGTGCTCAGCTTTGAGGGTCCTTCAAATTTGATATACAGCCAAGGGGCTTGTTAAGAATTTGTGGTTTATTTTTTCAGGCATACTCTCTGAATATACCATAATGTTCACTTCAGAACCATTACAGAGTGAGCTCTGAATGCATATTAGCAGCATGATGTCATATGGATTCATTTCATCCCTTTTCCATGCAGGATGGTTTGACATATTACTCTTGAAGTAAATCCATACTTAGCAGTAGTGACATGGAATGTGAATGTGAATTTATTTGATTATTTATAGTAGAACCAATATAACCAATCAGGTAAAAAAATTATTTTAGTTATACAATTATCCCCCCTTAGAGCTTTTAAAACCCTCATGGAATAGTGAGTTTATTCCTCTGAAGTTTTTGCTCCTGTGGCTTTACATTTGAATCTTATTTTACTTGTTTGCACCAAATCACTCAGTAATCCTTGCCAACTAATCTCAGTGATATTTTCTTATTACTGACTGCTTCCTTAATGGCTGAGTCTTCTGCAAACCTTTGGGTTTTCTTCCAAACTGTTGATAAAATTGTTAACTAGAGTATGCCCAGGAAGCTATCCCAGCAGAATACCCGTTCTGTGATCATTCCCCATTTAAATTCCCATTTTGAAATGTCAGTTAACTAGTTTTCCGTTCATTTAATGTGAGACGTGTCAATTTTGCATCATCGTGTTTTCTTAACTCAAATGCCACGAATACCACATCAAATGTCATATAAAATCAAAGTGTATCTACAGTGTTGTCTTTCAGTTGGAGTCACAATTGAAAAAAAAAAAAGCCAGCAAACGTGTTTGACAGTATCTATCTATTTTCCATATTGCACTTAGATTGGCATTTAGCATATTTCTCCTCTTTAATTAGTTAGTAATTGAGTCCCCTGTCAGCCATTCCATTACTTTGCTCCAGATCAATTTTAGACTGACAGGACTGTAATTATCTAGGTCGTTAAGTTTATCCTTCTTAAATATTAACACAACATACGTTTTCTTCCAGCTTTCTGGAACCTTCCCAATTGTTCCCAGACTCAGCAAAAAGCAATAATAACCATAGAGATTCCTCAGTCAGCTCTCCAACAACTCTTGGATACAAGTAATCTGAACTTTCCTACACAAATATTTCTGACTTCAGTAGCTTCCATTTAATTTTTTGAGAATTTTGGGGTTTTTTTGTTGTTGTTGCCTGGTAGTTCATCATCCTCACAGAGCATCAATTGTCTGTCTTTTCCTTAAATACTGAACACAAAGAATTATTGAACACTTCTTTCTTGTCTTCATTACTCTTAACAAATCTTCCACTTCAATCTGATAAAGAACTGGTACCATTGTCAGGGTTCCTAATGTATTTGAAAAATATTGTCCTTAATTCCCTGGCCATAAATTTCTCCTTACAGCTTGGCTGCATTTATTGGAGGAATTATATATGTAATGCCTTACTTCTACTCTATATCCAGTGCTATCAACTTTCTTCATTTCATTGATTTACAATTACACAGAGGCTTTCATTAACCCTTTGAGCTAAATATTTTCTATAAACATACAACTTTCTTTCCTAATTTTTCAGCTATTAAATGTTTGATATTTTCCAGTTATTGATCACTTTTCTCTCCTAGCTGATTCTCCTTTTCAATAATTTTCAGTTTGGTAAAAAGACTGCACCCTCCATATTACTGTTTGGGCTTCAATCTCATTTTGCCCTAAAGAGCAATCAAGCTATCATCACAGCCACTAATATTAATTTACTTCTCTTACCAACTATCTCAAATCTCTTTTCATTATTTCTGAGGTGCTATCTCACATAAAGTTCTCATTCTTGGAGAGTTCTCTCTTTTGGTTTAAGAAATGTTCATATATAATGTTCAAAAATTCAGCAGAGGTACCAGCATCATAAAACTCCAGGCATATGTCAGGCAGACTGAAGTCTCAGATGATAGTGCAGCTTTTTTGCTCCTACACATTACAGAAGGTGCAAAGGCATCCAGTCATCCTATTGTCTTCTATGATTTGGTGATTTACAGGCAGTAGCTGCTATCCCATCTAGTGTTTTGCCTGATGGAGTATTGATCCATTGCATTCACATCATTTGCTTCTGAGCTGCCAGTGCCCTGAAAACAGGCTATGGCTCTTTTACCGAGGAGTGCCACTCTTCTTCCCCTTCTCTCTACTTGATCTTTCCAAAATAGGTTATAACCATTGACTTTAATGTTCCAGTTATTCAGTTCTTCCCATCTATTGTCAACAATACCAGCTACACTGAATTTACAAATATGTAATTCCGATTCCTTTCGTTTTTTTACCTGAAGTGTTTGGTTTTGCTTTCATAGAAAATCTGCTGCTTTTAAATCCTTCGTTAATTTTGGGTTTGCCATCTTGATTTCACGGTGAATGATTGGGGTTTTTTGGTTGGATTTGGGGTTTTTTCCATCAGTTCCTCTCTTAGCTCTTATTTTCAGCCCTTTCCCTAGCGAGCTGTTTGCCTTTCTTACAGAACAGGAGACCACCTAAATGGTGCCATCCTTTCACCTACGTTAAAAGACACATGCTCCACGTCCAGAATCTTTTTTTCCTGTCTGCCTTCATTCACCAACCAAGGATAATATCCTGGAGGATCACACAGACATTCTTCTGCTTAAGCAATGTCCAGGCTTCCCTGAACTTGTTTAAAATCAGCAAGGCAATCCCTGGGAAGCAGAGTCACTGATGCGTAGAGTCTTTCCAATTGTCTTTCCATCTCCAGCCTTTCCCCCAGATTGGTTGGGCTGCACATGATCCCTAACTGTCTGGTTTTGAAAAACACTTCTGCCTCTCCAGGATTCTGAAATTTGGGTGGCAGTGAATTGGAGAGGGGGGAAAGCTGTCTGTTTTCAGCTGAAAATGTAGGCTTTTTTTAACACATCTGCTTGGGCCTCTCTGTTTATTGTTGCCCAGAATAACCAGACCTCTGTGGGCTGCCCGGTCCCTGGGCTGGCAGCTCCCATCTCTCCTCAGGATGGGCAGAATTTGGGAACTAAAGAGTCTGGGTTCTGAGACAGTATGTAAAGTGAGCAGAGGAACTGCCAAAAAGTGAAACGTCGAGAATTGGCTTGTTTTGTCATAAAATTGATCAAAATCTGCATCTTTCTATGGGAGTTTTAAGTTACAATCCACTAGCACTCTTCACTGGCAAAAGCAAAACCTTCTACCAGGGAATTTCTGATTAACTCCTCTCCTGTCCAGAGGAGAGCTATCTAAATTAATTGTCTTTGACAGGTGAGGTCTGTCCTCATTTTGGTGCAGGAGATAAGATACTGGTTACGACACAACTGGGTAGACTTGCACAGCTTTTTAATTACAACAAAAGCACTTATCACAAATGTCTTGTAAACTGAGTGTCAACAGTGCTTGGATTGCAGCTGCCTGGCCCTGGGGGTTGATGACTTACCTGTTTAATAGATATGATGAAACATTATCTTGCATTCTGTGACCAACTTCGCCTTCAGCCTATCCTTATAATGCCTTACAGCTCATCAAGCCCTACTGCACAGGCCTTAAAATAAGACTAATCAAATCCACTTGGTCTCACACTGCCCTTTTTTTTTTGTCATAAGACAGAAGATGCTGTATAGAAAGCAAAAGATCCTTCAGCACCTAATTTTGCAGGATTTATCCAGGCAGTACAATATAAGCCCCATACAACACAGAGATGTGCTTGCTGGCTCTGAATGAACAAAACACGCCTGCCTACAAATGGCAAACCATTTGTTACATTTTTGCAAGGAAAAACACGGAAAAAAAAATTTGTCAGAGCGCAGCCTCACAGCTCCTAGTTTCTGTGGCCTGTGCTGTGAATGGCAGGTGGAGTTGCTTGGAGTTGTGAATCACTTTTGGTGTTGTGTTGATTCGCTCACACACACACAAAATGACACGGTAAAAATCTCAGACGCTGAAACAACACAGATCAAGTCACTGTTCTGTACTTTATTTCTGAAGGTGTTGAGGAAGGAAGGGGAGATGGTAGAGTTCATGCTTGCACAACTGGCTGAAAGCTGTATACAACACACACCTGGAGACAAGTGATTGTGAAGGGAATTACTATGAACACTATAATGATTTTGGTTTTTGTTATTTCTTCACGCTATCTTGAAAAAAAAAAATCAGTCATTTTCATCAGTACCTCAAAGATTCTTCCCCGAAAATGTATGAAGCAGACTAACAAAGGGTTTCTGAAAGTGATTTCAATTACATGAAAAGAAGCAGTGAAAATTCAAGAAAGGCAGAGAAAAGAGTGAATATTTAAGCTAAGGACATGGAGACATAACATCCCAGCGCTTTATGTGCTCTACTTATTACTGGTATCAATGGGAGCACTTACTTGAAGCTTAGTACAGGATTTGGGGGTTTTCCTTCATATCTGCAAGTGACTATAAAGCACAGAAAAAAAAAAAAAAAGAGGAAAGAGGCTGTTCTTTTTCTGGTGAGAAGCCTTTGTTTTATCTTTCATGATGCTTGAAATGGCAGCCAGCTTTAGTGATGGTTCAAGCGTCAGAATGCTTTATTTTTTTCT